ACAACAGCAAGGTAGTGTCTTACCTGACCATGTTAGGGGCAACTGAGTTGGAATGGGTGATAGTCTTGGACATAAAGATTCCTAGGTGGCGTCAGAACAAGTCGTGCAATCTGACAGCTATTCACATTCTGGGCACAGAGAGAATGTGATGGGAGATGGTCTGTCCAGGGAGAAAGACCTACAGGAGGAAGCAACGTTGAACAAAATATTTCACAGGTTGTGTTGGCTCTGGGGTGACTCCCAGACTCAATCAGTCTCTCAGCAGAGGCCATAACCAACTCTGAGAACTTGAAAGGACATATTTCTCCACAATCTTCATGTCTCATTATCTCATTAAACCGAGGTGCTTATAGAAGAACCCATCATCCCCAACGGCATGAAAAGCATTGGTGATGATGTCAGGCACTAGAAATTTATTCGATGAGTTTTCTGTACTGATCAGTCTAGACTGATTCTCACTCCGTTAAATAGAATGGATTTTAATTATCCTAAAGACCTCAGGAATTATAGCAAGAAAATCAATGGATAGTTCAGAAAACTTCTTGGTAAAAAATTCTGATAATTTCTACTTTGCTGTTGATGGATAACACAGTATAGTTAATTTCAGGGTTCTAATATAACTTAAAATATAAGTAACTTTTACATATAAGTTACTGGAGATTCATTCTGTGAACGTGTCCTATGGAGAAACTCAAGAGTTAACAATATTCATAGAGACATCAGAACAGTGATGCAGTTCTTATTCCTAAGACTGTTGCATGCAGGACTACATCAGTTGTGATGCATATAATTCTGTCATGATGATGAAGAAAGGAGTATTGCATTTTTCAGTGGTATTTAGTAACTCTCATTTTTCCTGAAGATTCATTCCAAAGCTTTTATACTAGTTACCTATATCTTAGATTAAAATTGTACTCTTCTACAGAGAAACCTAGTGGGGAGGATCGGTGTCTTAGTGGAGTCTCTAATACCAACGCCGAAGAGTTTTCTTTTACTCTTTTCTCCAAGGAGGCACCTCCTTTTTTCCTTTATTCTCGGGATCCGTGCTACTGTTAACTACGCAACAGCAATGCAGAAATGCCCCCTCTATAGGATGCAAGTGTGAATGGCAAGTAAACCTTTTTAAAGCACGATGCAGTGCACAATGATAAAGCAAAAACTAGACAACAAAGCTACTGAATTCAGCTTAAGATATTTCTGACAATGACATGAAAATGTAACTTTTTGTTTAAAAAAAAAGAAAACGCAGAAGGCACAAAACAAAAGAAAAAAGAAGGAAAAATCCCTGGGGAAATCTAACACAGGCAATGATTTACGAATAACTAAAAAAACTTCTACCTCTGTAAATAGCTTTAATAAGCTAAATGTATTCAGAACTCACTAAGAAAAGTATAGAATGCACATTGCACTGTTGTGCTACTAATCTGTGGATATCATTTATAGTTCATGATATCATTTTCAGCTCTGGATGTCTTTGCAAGAAATATGAATTATTGCTGTTATGCTTAAACCGTAGCAAATAAAAAGATTATTCTGTTATCTAAAATACACAGTGCGAATATTATATGCTATTTCAGTTGGAACAAATAGGAATTTTTAGGTTACCTGATAGAGGTAATCAAAACCATTAATACTTGTAAGAAGTAGGACAATCTCAAACTGTGCTAACTAGTGATACGATTAAAGTCTCAGCAACACAGTAAAAAGAAAAGAGAGGCAAACAAAACAAATTTAGCTAAAATCATTCTATTGAAAGAGTAACAGGCATATGAAACAAGCTGCTTAGCAAGACAGCTGAATCAGATAGCATAAGTAAGCTTAAGAGACAGCAAGATATTTTTTATGCAGAAAGTGGATTGGAATTTACAGCAGATGGATAAATGGTTGAGATAACTAAAAAGGGGACAGGTTTATTTTAACACAAGACTTACTGTCCCAATGACTTTTCAAGTCCCCTTCTCCTTTTCTTTTCATCAAATGCAAGTATTGAGCTTTCACAAGCATTTTATAATCGCAGCTGATTTGCAGTCTTTCCCATTTGTGGTAGTGTTAAAAACTAGCACCACAGAAAACTTGCTATCGGGAGTTTTCTTTCTTGCAGCCAAACCTTTTAATTGCAGACTTATTTTAATGGTAGATGCTTCACTCTTCATAGTTTTTACCTTTTTAATGCAAATCATAAAATGAATTTGTTTGCATCCACTCCTAGGCCAAAATCAGAAGATATCTGATCTACAAGAAATTCTTTTTTCGTAAAATTTCCTGCTTTTTCATTGCTGGTGCAACTGCTGTAATGCTACAGACACAATTTTTGACTATCGCTTAATTTTCAAGTTGTCTAGACTCAAGTTGATCAAAGCTGTAGTTACATAATGCTAGCTTTGTTATTACCGCCATGGGTAGAATTGGACTGGTGACAATAGTTTGGAATTACATACAGAAGACTTCAAATTCAGATTAAACTCATTTTTTAATTTAGAAATCTGAATTCAAGATCCTGACTCCACAGTTACATCCTATTCAGTTTTCAAAAATGTCAGAAGATCCACTGTCCTCTAACAGCTATCCTCTTTCTAACAACAAAAGTTACAGTATTTTAAATACCTTTAAACAACAAACAATCAGTCTTGAAACTTTGCTACAAAAGAATGAATTCCTGTTCTTGAGCACAGCCCAGAATGATGACAGAACCAGAACTTCTGATACTACTTCAGGCACTGTTGTAAACTATTGTTCTTGTTCCTATTTCTGGAAACTATTTTTCTCTTAAAAAAAAATGCAATCCCTTTTCTATCCTAATCACACACCTTTTATTTCTGAACCTCCTTCAGCCTGGCTTATGATCAGAAAAAGCAATTTTGTTTATCTACTTTTAAAAGAGGAAAGTTACAAGGGGCTACAGATCCCTAATCAGACGAGCAATCACTGATTTCTTTGGGGACGTCAGATTGCACCACATTCGTTACTGCAATGATCTGTAACCCCAGAAGGTGCTCACTGCAGGTTCAGTTTTCATAATACACCAGTGGTCGTCTTACCACACACTTGAGACACAACAATTCATAAAACTAAACAAATGGGTATCATTACCATTTATAATCACATTGAGGGGGTGAAGGGAGCCGAAGGAGTTTATCTCCCTATGCTTTATTCTTGGTTTTGTTTTTACTTTTCAGTAAAAAAAAAAAAAAAAAAATCACATATGCACCTGCTGCTGCCAATCAGTGGCTAACAGTACCAAAAATTCACAGTTCAATATATATATAATAGGAATCTGAGGAATTAATATGCACCAATTGTATCAGTTGTTTTTTGATGAATAGGACCCCTTATCTGGCCTTGAGGACAAATGCAAACCTCCAAATAGCTCTTTGCATTATAATGAAAATAAGCAATAGGAATTGTTGGCTTGACCTGCTTACTAATGTTTTCACATTTTGTACCAGGCTTGATGCCATTGCATAAACTGCAATGCTATGAACTCTGGCTATACAGACCTTTTCTATAATAATTAAAAAAAAAAAAAAATTATTCGGAGTAGCAAACAATTGGCCTAATCACACCTTTTAGAATTTTAGAATTCCTTGCTTTCAAATCTATACTTGCTATGTAGAAATTCAGATTGTCTTTCTCTTATACAAAACTGAGAAACTTAGATGGAAGCAGTTGTTTAAAAAAAAAAAAAAAAAAACTGTGTAGTTCTGCATCTTTATACAGATCAATGTCCAATTATAAGCAGAGAGCCGCTGAGGCAAGAGGTCAGGAAAAAATAATCTTTCTGGTATTTATTAGTTGGAAAACAAGGTCATATGTAAGGTCAACCTTCCAATATATAGTGAATAAGTTATGCTGCAGCATTCTAAATATTCTACCCAGCAAAAATTATATTTCAATCGCAATATGATTAGAAAAATGAAGTAGAGCATTTATTTCCCGATGATTGTACTACCGACCAGACGAGGCTAGAGGCAAAATCTAGTTCCAACTAATCAACAATTAATAAAAGCTTATAAAATATTTCTGCTTAATTATAAATGTAGCGTCTCATTAAGGCTGACTTACTTAATCATTTTTAACCGTCTTTACACTGAATCATCTTCCACATAGTAAATGAAAATAATAGCAAATATACAAAATAATTCAAAATAATTCAGTGGTACACTTCCTTATGGTTTGCAGTCTAGAAGCAAAACACACAAACACACAAAATGCCAAAGTGTTCAGCTTGTCTGGAGCTTTTAAGAAATGTGGTCCTTTTGAAATAACAGATCTCATAATTAACACATCCGGAAAAAAAATGAATTGGACACAGACTTTGAGGAAATAAACATGCCTATTTGGCAGAATGAACGCCTGTAGAGCATTATATCATTGTCCTGATATAAGTAATTTTAACTGTTTTACAGACACTTATTTTTGCTTCTTTTGTAGGGTGTGAATGAAATCATACTGAAAATCAAATTATGTTATTATTTGACACTTCTCATACTACTATTAGTCGTGAAATCAACATATAAATTGCCATGAAATGAAAACATCTTCTATCCATTTTTACTGTTGTCCGATATCCCATGTCTCGTCTCTTTTCGTCTTCTCCAAACTACATGAAGAATGGAAATGATTGGCATTCTTTTATCCGCTGCAGTCCTGTCTAGTTTGAATTTTCAGATCAAGCTTTGGCAGAAGGACTGTACATAACATATTACAGGCAACGCCAGCGAAAATAAAGTATATGCTAATCATTTTAGAAAAGTACTATTTTTTCCTTTTATTTTTTTTTATCTACTTTGGATAAAAAAGGGATACTTGCAGTATCATTTCACGTTCATTCTGAAAGACACCGAACATTCTTTGCTCTGGGCTAGCTGCAAGATTCACTGTTTTCTCTGATAGTATTATCAGAGGGCTATTCCACCCTGATAAACTGCCACTGTAATACTAATAGGTTTATAATGATTGCTTAAACTGTACACCTTGTAAGCATTGGAGGCTTCACTCACCTTGTTCAAGTGGCTGGCTTTTAGTTGAAGTAGTTTTCATCTTGAGTGCCTCCCTAACAGACATGTCACAGCAGGAGCCTTTGTTAGTGTCTTGGTCACTGTCAGCCTGATCACTGTCCCCATGCCCGCTGTCCCTCAAGCTGGCTCTTTCTGGATCCTTGAACGTGGAGCTACTGAAATACATATTTAAAAAAAAAAAAAAAAAAAAAAAAGATAGAGTTGTATTTACTTGTTCTAAGTTGAATTGTACTCTCTGGCAAAGCAATTTTGACAAGAATGCAAATGGGGAAGCCGAGAAAGTTATTTAATAGGCCTTACCTTTGAACAAACTGCTGCCTGCTGCCCATGTAATTGGGCTCTGCGGGAAAATTGTCTGTCTGTGAAAGAGAAGGAAAAAAATACGTATAGTTGTACACTGGACAAATCTCCTGCAGAGCAACAAGATTTCCTAGAGGAGAAATGATTAATAATTCAAAAATTCCCTTAATCTTCAGATTTGTACATTTTAATTAAATTGGAAAATGCTGGCATGTAATTATGTGCTCAGAACAATTAAATGATTCCGGTCCACAAATTACCTGCTAAAGTAAACAATGAGGCTCCAGTAAGTGGCATCCTCTGTTAGTAACCTGACAGATGACACTGTTTATGTTTTTTCATTAGTTAGATATTAAGACTGATGGTTATTGAAAATGAGAGAAAAAATTACTTTTGCATATTAAAAAAGTGAATTATTCAATAATAGTAATTTTTAATCATAATTACATCATCTGCTGGGGTTCTGAGGCCCTTACTGCTGTAATATAATTTCACATATTACTATACTATTTTTGAATTGCAAAAATAACAACAAGAAAATTAAGAATGTTTGTGGCTTATTAGCTCTTTTTTTAAATGCAACTGGAAAAGCGCAAGTGTTAAAATATTTGCTTTTTTCTCTCTTTAATTTTCATCAGTATTAATAGCTGTATCTATCTGAACAATGCGAACCGCATGCAAACAAGAACATTAGATGACTGTTGTAGACAAGTAGTTTTTAAAGAAGATACTTCTATTAAGTCTATCATGAGTATATTTTTAGCAGCATGAGCTAAGTAACTGCAGAAGCAGAAGTATTTACAGCACCCAGACCAACATGGAGTTCTGCCAAAGGGAACTGAATTCCCCTTGTATCATCAGCTAAAGTTCTTTGGGAGGAAGAGAGACTGAATCCTTCACAAAACTCCATATACTGTACATTCATACACGTCACTTCTTGCAGCTGACCTAGTGACAGAGCTTCTACTGTTTTCTGCATCACTTCATATCACGCCATTACGCTTCGCAGCAGCTCTGAGTTTTGCAACAGCACCTAGCATGTAAGTATCAGTAACACAGGCAGCACTCAATTAATGGAGCAGAAGGCCCAAGGTAAGGTTTAAATGTTGCACAAATGTTTACATAAATGACTGCTCTCTTAGATATTTTTTGCCTTCATTTTTTAGCTTTGATTTGTTTTTTAATAGGCAGATAGTAATTGGAAATATTTACTACCAATTGCATGGTTAGAATAGAGGAGCTTGGAAAAGATATAAGAAGCTACACCTGAAAATTAATACTCAGTACTGATGGCAATGGAAAATAGGTAGCTACCTGCCATTCTTAACATATATACAAAATAGATTTGTTTATATACCATGGATAACTTGTGTGATCTAGAGAAGGATCAGAAGATAAATAATTATCTTCTATTCGGCATTTATGAAGTGTATGCACACTGTGCTTTCCTCTTATTTCTGGTTAAATCTTGTGGTGCAAAACTAGGATTATAAAACATTTTGTGTTTACATTTTGAAGCAGTTTCTATTTTAAACTGTGGAGTTCATGTCATTGTATAGCTCATTACAAAAGAAAACAATTGATCTTTCATCTGTGAGATTTCTTCCTATGATGAAGTATATGACACAACTGGATTTTTACTCTTCCGTTTCCTACATAAAGCATAAACCACCTATGCTTAGGATTCTAAATGACATTTTATCATATTAAAATTGCACATAATTTTGAAATCTGAGTATTTATATCTAGCTAGAGACTTGGATTTGAGTAGAATTAAAAAGTGGAGACATACCAAATTCTTAAATAGTGCCTAAGAAAAGCAAACACTCTGGATTATAGAAGGAGAATTCTGGAGATAAGGGTCTTCAAACTCAATATTTTGCCACTCACTCAGTATTTTCCTAGTCGGCTTTCCAGAAGTATTTGTAATTTCAGGTATGGTATGCAAAAATAAATTTTTCAGCATTTTTAATAATATATGCAGTCACTTAAACATTCTGCATCATATCACATATTTCAGAAGCACCCTATGTCCTTTCCCTGTCTCAAATTGGAAACTAGTATCACTGCTGTACACAGTAAATACACATCATATAAACATACAATCAGTACAACACTCACAAAACACCACACTTTCCAGCCCATATAAACCTATATGATTACAGAACTCATTTCTGTTTTCTAGGTTCTATTATCTCACTACAGCTGCCCGGGAAAGCTAACCTCATGCTTTTACTTATGTAAGTAAGAAATCTGCCTCCTCCTAAAACTAGCTACCTCTAGAATCAATATTTCCATTTTCTGTGTCATTGCGAGGTAAAATGCCTGTCATTTCATCAATTTTCTACCATCTGATTAGGAAACCTAAGTCTGACTTTTGCCCTCAAAACGGTTACAGCCCCTCCTTAAAACGTGCTTCTATTACATGGTTTGCTAATGACTTCTCTGTTAGCTGGACGGTAGTGAACACTGGCTGCACTTTTCATTTCCACTTTGCCATAGCAATAAAAACATATGGCACACCCAAGATTTACATTCTAGAATAGAAATTCTGACAGAGTCCTAGTTGCAGTCCTAACAATGGGAGCTGCTTCTGAGAAATTCTGTATTCATAGTAATTATTAATGGTCTTTAACTCAATAATAATTTGACCAATTTTCTTCATATTGTATTTTGCAGCAAAACAAACAGTTGGGTGCCATCTTACAGTGAGTTCATTGCTACAAAAGAACAAATGTAAATACTTGATAACTATGTACAGCTGCAGAGCTCAATGTTCTTTTCCTTCTGTTCTAAAAGCATTAAGCCTTCTCCTATGAGCTATGAAAATATCATGTTTTTGATCAGCAGTAACCAGGCACTCTGAGATCTAGGCAGCAGAGAGACAATTGCTTTATATATAATAATATCTATATAAAAATTGGGATAATAAACAAATATTTAATTTTAATGCTAGGCAGTTAAGAGGAGTCCTAGAAAGGCAAGCATCCAATTCTCAATGGATTACAGAGATCTATGAATATCTAAATCCCTTAAATAACTTCTTTTTTTATGCTTTTGCCATTGCCACCACCATAAACTAGTAAAAGTGAGGTTTCACAGTCATGAAAGGTTTATACTGCAGATTTGGCCCAAACTATATAGAGCTGAGAATTCTGTAATTTCTGTGCATGCCAACAGCACTAACTTTTTTTTTTTTTTTTTTTTTTTTTTAAGTCTCAGTTGAAGTGAGAGGTCATATACTTTAAATTTTTACACTTTAACATGTATGGAAGAGATATTACACATTTTGGCTCATGCATTAATCATATCTCTTTACCCTATATAATTGTAATTTTATGAAATGAGTGCTACTTTAAACACTTATCAACAACCAATAAGCTCTTTGTTCTTCTCTGAGTACCCACTCCCTTTCCAGGAAATCAGAACCATGTCTCTATGTATGTCTACAGTATGAATGTCTATACTCTATGCTAAATTAAGAAAGCTCTTACATGTGATAGATTCACCTATTCAGTTTTAAGGTGGGTTTCAGTTTGCCTACATGTAGCCATCTACGCTAGTCACCTACTCAAAGCTAAGCAGCTATGTGCCCCTGATAAGCACTGGAGACATAGCTGTCTACAGATGGTTCGTTATACTTCAGGCATCTGTCTTTAGGTGTGTGTTGCTCTCTGGTGATGGTTTTCTCTGCCCTGTAACTATGGGTGGAATCTAGATGACCAGTAAGATGTTCAATTTAGTGGCTAAAGTTAACTGAGATGTACCCTAGCATAACTGAATTACACAGAATTATCATCACTTGAGAAATAACCAGAAGTTACTCAAATTGTCAGCACTATTATCATCCTGAAGAACAAAATAAAACAACAGTCCCCCAAAGAAACCCCCCAGAAACAGTCCAGCTCTAGAAGTCATTGGGATTCATTAGTAACAGACATATTTTCTTGTCTCTGTGATTCAAGCTTGAGGGCTGGAATGGGAATTGGATCAAGCATGATTAAGACACAAGTTCTTTAGTAGTAAGAAAATATGCTGAAACAAATGGGTCTCTAAGATAAAAGTAAAAGTTGAATAAGAATTGTCCACTGCTCTGGTTAGATGCTGGAAAAGTGAAAGGTCCGTGATGTTAACCTAACAAATCACACCTCTTCTACAGATGAGATCCTGTTTTTTTGGTTCATTGTCACAGATTAGTGGAACCAATTCATTTTCAATGAGAATGTATCGTTAAATCATTAAACAAACATACTTTTTCACAGTTCCAGTGATGGCCCCCTAAAAAAAACTTTCCATACACCTTTCTTAATACGTGACTGCAGAATAAATCTGAAATGTTAAGAACACTACCATACTGCTACATTGCAGAAAAGTTAATGAGGGTTTTAGCACATATATGGAATACAGCTTACTTAGAAGGAGGGGGCTAATAAAAATGCCAATTTGAAAGAGATTAGAACTCCTATAAACAGTTCAAAAGCCACCAAAATTTAAAAAGGAAGGTTGCTGCTTTTCAGAAAATATATTACAGCTTAACAACGTTACATTTTTTGTCTAGATAGTGAGGAGCAGGAAAGGAAAAATACAGGCAAATTAAACCTGTACAAAATATGCCTTTACTCGTATGAGGTCTTCAGATGTAACAATATAATTGCTACAGGCTAACAATATGACTTGAAGAATCATGTATTGGTCAATGTTTGCATGAATGTTTGCATGAACAGGTGGAATAGATCCTTTAAGTGCTATTGTCAACTGTCTATAAAACCATTTATTCTATTACACAGGCTAGTGTCTGAACATCAAGAAGACATCATGGCCTTTGCTAAACCTCTATTTACAAAGTTATTGTTGAGTATTGTGTATATATCTGGAATCTGGAATATTGAGTTTTATAAATTCAAAATCAAAGAGCACAAAAGTTTGAAAGTCAACTGATAAGGTTCTAGCAATTAATTCTAGAATGGTTGTGATTGCCAAAAGTTTAATTTGGAGAAAGGCAAATGAAAAATTATGATGAAAACTACAGCAACAGAAACAACTCCCTGGTAATATCCAC